TAAAACGGCAGTAAACTGGGCCACTAAAATTGTTAAGAGGGTGGGCTAGAAAAGAGCACTTGAACTATGGGAAACAAAAGAAAAAAATGCGAGGTAATGTCACAAGCAATATGATCTATTGCGAAATTCCTTACAAAGAGGGGTAGGTCAAATGCACCATCTGTAATCCATGGTACTTTGGGCCCAATATTTTATCCAGTCGATAAAGCTGGGGCAATTGCAGATTTCTGAGAAAACCAGTTCACACCTCATGACTTGTGTGACTGATCATAAACAACAGGTAGAAGTTATACGACTCTCAGAGTTGTGTGACAGTAAAATATGATCACGAGTCCCGTAGAATTTGGAGCCAAGAATGACTCTGCTGGCAAGGGTCAGCAGCAATTTACTTGTTATAAGCCTGCAATAAATCCAGTTACCAATGCATACCCCACGTCTAATCATTAACACGTGAAAATAATTTCCTTGAAGTATAGAGGGCAGTATTCATAACAACAGTATTCACTCGGCTAATAAAGACAGCATATATTGTTTGCGAAATTATATTTACTGTAATAACCCTTCCAGCCGCACTATGACCCCTGGGGTCGACTCAGCCTCTAACAGAAATGAGTACCAGGAATCTTGTTGGGGGTAAAGGGCGGCCGGCGCGTAACGCTGACATCATCACCACCATCTTTGACCCGATTGTCTAGAAAATGTGGGAGTCTCGACGTCTCACAAATCTATGGGCCTCCACGGCCTGTTACAGGGATAGCTTTACCTTTTTTTACGAGAGAGTTCACAGGTACTTGATCATGTCTGCCTACAATGATTTAACAACGGTTAACGAAAACGTTTAAACTTCCCTCACTCACTTCCGCCTCAGCCTGTGACATGCTTCAGAATTATGTTACTTTAGGTACTAAGAATAACTGCTTCGTCTAGCTTAGGGCCCCGTGACCAAAATTCCCGAGCACGTTTCGTCTTTTTAATAAGGAGATAGATGTATATGATGTTATTTTATGGTACATTTCTGAAAATGATAATTAATAATTTTTCTTCGTGGAATGACGTATTACTCCCTAAGCAGGAGAATTCTCATATTTTGCGCCTCATTTCAGGATTACGGTATTTACATTTTCCTTTTTCAATCTTATGTGTTGCTTTATATGCGTTCAAAATCATGGCAAACTTTGTATTTAGGTGTACACACTAACTTCGCAAACAAGCTGCGGTCGCTCGGTCGGTATAGTTCCCTCGCGGACTCAAGCCACGGAGTTTGTTTGTAATTTTACTTCAGCCAGGTTTTTCTTTCTTTCATATATATATATATTTCTATTACGCATTCTCGAGCTAAATCTTTTGTTTTCATTGTTATGTAATTTTAATAGCAATCTGATAATTCGCAAAAATCCAAAGTAATTATAATTTACACGTACTCTATCCTCATACAGTTTTTATTTAATAATAAAAACACACATTCATGAAGCATTCCGTTTTGTTTTTGTACATGTAGTAAACAAACTACATTATTGATTCGTAATTAACAAAAGACACTTATGAGAAAGAATAAATAAGTTATTGATATTTTATAAAGATGCTGGACTATATAATGTATTATCCACACACACTATTTACAAATAGATTGAAGGTATTTCAGATGTTTACTGGACTCAGGACGTGTCCATATTTGCATTCATTGAGTCACGTCACTTCATTAGCGGAACACGTACAGGTAATAGCAGTTGCAACATTGTTGTTATTTGAGAGTTAAATAGTTTTCAGCATTGCCGGATGTCCTTAGTGATGTCATCCTGTTTGTTATAAAATTACACTAAATTATATTTAAATTATCAGATAAACTAACGGGCCTGAAATTGTCTTTGGCCATGGGCATTTCCACTTTAAGAATGGTTGTTACAATTGAATAATCATTTTGTGTTTAGTAGTTATACTTAACATTAGAGATGTTTAAATATACTGACATTCTTAAAACTGAAATTTATATTCAGTGAAACGTCCATTTGATACTCTCACTAGGAAACCAGGTGACAGGATTAACTTGCAAATTGCTCTCTTCAATGCTGAAATCAGATGCACTTTTTCGTTCTTTACTATGCAGTGATTATAATAAGAATTTATGACTACTTACGAAATTCGTAAATAACACTTAATTTTTCATTGCGAAATTAATATTCGAATATGGAATCAAGGAGACCGCCTCTGTGGTCTAGTGGTCAGAGTTCGAATCCCGGCGCTACAATTTTTTTCTGAGAAGTAGTGGGTCTGGAACGGGGTCCACTCAGCCTCGTGATGATAATTGAGGAGCTATTTCAAGGAAATAGCGGCTACGGTCTAGAAAACCGAAATTAACGGCCGTGACGATTCGTTGCGCTGACCACGTGACACCCTCTATCCGCTAAAGTTGGCATTAACTTCGCCGATAAGCGGCGGTCGCTCGGTCGGTATAGTTCGCTTGCGGACTAGACCCACGAAGTTTTTTTTACATGGAATTAAGGAAACAAAGTCATTTTCACCGCTCCTTATATGAAGTTGAAGAACAGAGAAACTGGCTCACTCAATAGATAGAAGTGTCTTTATTTCCAGCGGCTTATGTTCATTTTCTCCCGTCTATTATATTTCAACGTCAGCATTGTCTCTGAAGCCATGTAAAGAAATGTTGCTGTAATTCAGTGTAAATTGCTTATACAATACAGCCATATACTCGTAGTGTTCGAAATATATTAAACCAAATATAATTGTGTGAAGAAAATTATTTTTTTTTTATAATAACGAATTTTATATCGTGACGAAGGGATTAATCACGGGACTAAAGAACTTCTGAGAACATAGCAGTGCAGGGAAATTGCAGTTGTCTGTATAAGTATGAAAGGAATTTCAGTCTGACATGAAAGCCAATTTTAGAGCGTAATTTAACATTTAGAAGCTACTGCCTCTTCATTGCGAATAATTGAACACCAGGAATTTGTTTAAGAAAAATTTGTATTCGGGTATGATGAAAACTGCTGAGGTTTCAGAAACGTCCACTTGCAAAAGACACAGAAAGTGAATAAATAAGCACAAGGCCATTTACATTTCTCAGCCTGATTTTATTTCCAAAAGAACAGTAAAATTTAGTTTCTTTGTTTGTGTGTTACTCCATTTCAACGTTTGGATCGTTTCATTGATTATTACGAAACTTGATATGTGCTTTATGCCATTTGCGACCACCGCAACTACATAGTTATAATTCACTACAGTAGGTAGCTCAATAACGGGATATCTTTTGAGCTCGAAGCTACATGAGCAACGTGTATATTGTACGATAATGGATCTCCGAAAAACACAACACACTGTTGAAGCATTTTCTTGTAAAAAGCAAAACAAAAGGCGGCTGCAGGAAATCTATATTTAATTTTCAGATTTATGGTGATACCTCCTGAGTCACTGAAGCTAGGTCTTCGAAATTTAGTATGAATGTAGGCTACAAATATACCTATAGATCCTGTAGGAACTGCTTGCTGTCGATTAATAATTATAAATATGACGGTGGTTTGAAATATTGAGGTTATGTCTGACAAATTTCATACAAAACTAAATCTGTACTTAAGTAATATTTGTTCCAAATCAATAATTTAATGCAATTAAATTAATTCTTTATTTATTTACGTGCTTATTCAACAGTCCAAAGGCCAACTGTAAAATTTGCAGGAGCAAACATATGCGCAAAAGCCAAAAACAAAACATTATAATAGTAATAAAACCAATAATAATAATAATAATAATAATAATAATAATAATGGAACCGGTGATATATTTAAAATTGCGAGTAACTGGAATTTGACTCGGCTGGGACTAAATGTTATGAATATCTCTGCACCAGTCCAGCAAGAGCTAAGTTGCAGTTTGTTGCTGTATTATATAAGGAATATTACCAAAGTAAGGCAGATAAAACATGTGATTTAAAGGCATAGAAGTCTGGAACAGAATGTGGTCTTCACGAATTATGAAGTTGCACTGAATATAAATTACAACGAAATCTCCACAGAGCTTAGTAAAATGTATATTCCAAAATTTGTGGCCTTTCTTGCAATACTCGTGTTACAGAATCTCCCAAACAAGTTTATGGTTACACTGTCATAATAACTGCTCGCTAGATGTGACTTACTGATCTGCATGGCACAAAACAGTTCAGAACTCTTCTCTTTCCAAAAATATTACATATAAAAACGGCACTAAACTTTACCTTGTTTTTAAAATATGTATAACGCTAACATATCCCACCATACCAAGTGTGACAGAAATTTGTATCATGGTTCTTGAGAAAGGAAGGTTTAAATCTGGAACCTTGGTCTTCATTACTTGTATGACGAGAGGGAAGCTGGAATAGTTCTTCCAGTCGCGCCTGATACGACGCGATAACTCACAAGTGTTCCCAGGGCCACGAATTTTGATTTCTTTGTAAGTCATTATGATAAAAACGTTTGGTGAATCTTTTATTCAGAGCAATAGGGAGTGTATATTAACACTCAGTTCCGTTAGAAGATGTTGTTTGCCTTTCTTTTTTTCTTTTATATTATTAATGCCAGTATATCTCGGTAGCGTAGATGGTTGAGGCACTATGCTACAAGCCGGAAGGTCGTAGGTTTGATTCCCAATGAGGTCATTGAAACTTTCAATTAAATTAATTCTTCCAGACGTATTATGGCCCTGGGGTCGACTCAAATGAGTGCCAGGAATCTTCTTGGGGGTAAAGAACGGCCGGCGCGTAAGGCTGACAACCTCACCGCCATCTGCTAGCCGACTGTCAGGAAAATTTGGGACCCTCGACGTCTCACAACCCTATGGGCCTCCACGGCCTGTTACAGGGTCAGCCTTAACTTTCTTACCTTCTACTGCCAGTATATTAAATGGTTATGGATATTAAGGACGCTCAGTTTGATTCCTGCTAGGAACAGATAATTTTTTCTTGTCCGTCATGTCCAGATTGACTATGGAGTTCACTCAGCCTCCTATTCACCGGGCACTGGGGTCTCTTCCCACTGGCGTCAAGTGCAATTCCGAGTTTAAGGGTACACAACGTTATAACCCATTCCCCCATGTGTCGTCTTGAAGGATATCAAAGAAATTAAAAAAAAAAAGTTGTTGTTGGATTAATACATATAACAGTGTTAAGAACTATACGTATAACCGTAGTTGGTTGCTTAAAGCTCATATCGTAATTAACTTAGGTCCATATCCAGGCCGGAAGCACTGTAGCCAAAGATTCTATAAAAACAGTATCTGTACATACTGGAACAATACAATTATTGATGAAATTGTTTCTTTAACAACCGCTCATTTTTGCATATGTTATCTGTGTCAAGCCTGAAATAATTTGCAAGAAAATGAATATAAAGTCGAATGTTTGAAGGAGTTAAATAAAATTAAGTACTTATTTTACCAGTCTCCTGTTAGGCCTATGTCTGATATTGAATCATGGGCGCAGCCAAGTTTGAATGGTGACTTGTGTTCATCCGGAGAGCTGTTAAACTTTTGCTGTACCACTCGTCCTCTGGACTCATGCCTGAAACAGACATCAGCTTAACTGAAATTTAACGTTTTAGTTACAGTTACATGCCTGAAACAGACATCAACATGACTGAAACTTAACCTGTTAGTTACAGTTGCAATTAGCGGCCTCCGTAGTCTAGAGGTAACGTTCCCACCTCATGACTCGTAGTACGCGGGTTCAAATACCCGGCGGAGGTCGTCGAATTTTTAAGGGCGGAAAAATTCAGGGAACAAGTCCTCCGGGAGGGACTTTAAGCCGTGGGTCCCGTGTCGTAGCTTTACGGCATGTAAAAGAACCTCATACCTCCAAAGGAGGTCACTGAGCCAAAATTGCCGACGTTTCCCGCCCAACAGCAGTCACTAATACCTCCGGTAGATGGGGGAAACATTATAGATACTTCTCAGCCAGTAGAGCCGGTCTCGCTGGCTGGGCGGGACTGATGGTAAGCACCAATACCGGTAGGATATAGAGACTGGTAGAAATCATAGAGGGAAGCACAATGGACCACTACAGGTCTAAGTGCATGGGGAAACCCACTCTCTCTAATAACTAACTAACTACAGTTGCAATTAAAAAAAATCTTCATCGTTTAATAAAAAATTCCCATTAGTAAATCTTAAATATAGGTTTACAAATTTCCAGAACTAGACTTTTCTTAGATCGAATATTACAGAGCTGAGTGCTCATGAGAAAGATAGGAAGTAAGAAGGAATGAGAGAAGATATGTCTCCTTCCTTATTCTTAAAATCAATACGTTTCTTGCTCCCTGATGTTGGGGTAGAAGTAGAGAGCTTTAGAGTTATAAATCAGGCTATTTGAGTGTTATCCTTATACAGACAGTTATGTCTATCTATAAATAAATAAAGAGGATTTAAGAAATCGTCTCCTGTTTCATCGCACCAAGAGGCCTGCTAAAAACGAGAGACAGAAATAGGATAAAGAGGCAGAGAGAAGTTAAAATACCTGAGACCGTTGGAAATTCCAACTCAGAATCTGGCAAAATGGGATATAGCGGAACAAAACTAAACTGGGTGGATGACAAACAAGATTACTGGTCCGACTGAGGCAGACTGTGTTTATAAACAGTAGCATCGAGCGTTCATTTATTCTGTACCAGATATGTTCTTTCATTTGGTTTCTTGTGGCATTGTAATTTTAAATTCTGAATGAAACACCACACCATATGAGAGCTGAGCGTCTCACAGCAATAAGAATTTCAACGAGTCTCCTATAGTGTGCAAGGTGCCTCAGCACGGACGACCACAATCTCAGCAACCTAGAGACTGTCAAACACTGGAACCTAGCACTAGCAGCCATCTGCTCGCCTCGATTCTTCACTCCCGGATTTTTCTACCCTGAAAATGGAGGTGATATTTTCCTACGAGACGTCTGTTCACACAAGATCTATAAGGCGCCACATCCCAACAGACGACATTCTTCTGAACGTATTTCTTTGTTTAGAATATTAATCAAAAGAATGAAAAGTAAATCTGTATACTGAAGCTATTTTGCATAAAGAGCTTCAGTATACAGAAATATAATACTGTAGCATCGAGACATAAATAACATTACTTGTCTTTATTTCCATACAAAGTTAATTTTGCATGCAGGACTTCTTGAAGAAAAACAACTGTCTAATCTGGTTAAAAACCCTCTCGATAAATGAGAGAATTTAGATTCCCGTAAGTACTCTTACGTAAAATAGGTTATATGTCTATAATATATTCTTTTTCAGTGGCTCTTCCAGCCCATTCAGGGCCCTGGCCTCTTATTCAATTCCGTAATCATTTTTTGCAGACGGTTGGACTCCTTGGACGAGTGATCAGTCCGTCGCAAGGCCGCTACCTACACACAGGACAACACAAACACAGAATAAACACATACACACACCAAACATCCATTCCCTGAGTGAGATTCGAACCCACAATCCAAGCGTCCGAGCGAGCGAAGACAGTACATGCCTTAGATCGCCCGGCTACTGTGATCGGTTTCTGTAATAATTATTGATATGTAATTTAAAAGAGCCACATATTTTGCTTTGTGACCCGGGATAACTCAGTCGGTATAGCGAGTAGCTACTGTCTGGACCACCGAGGCGTCAGAGTTCGAGTCCCGATGGGGTCAAGAATCTTCACTTCTTCATGTTGTTGAGAGCGGCTCAGGGTTCCACCCAACCTATCCAATGAGCACGGAGGAATCCTTTCCCCGGAGGGTAACTTGGCCAGGGCGTGAAGCTGACCACTCACCTCCAATCAGTGCCGAGGTCAAGAAAGCGTGGATCTATACATCCACTCCCTTATACTCCTTCATGGCGTAGTACTTAATTAGTTCAATACAAGTACAACTTTACATTACCTTTACATATTTTGCTCTATCTCTGAGCATTATTCTCAATGTAGAATGTTTTGAATGTAGTTTGTATGGAATCGTATTGAGCTTAGACTGTCTATATATTTGTAAGGCAACGCTAAAGATTTGAAATACTTTTTTTAATGAATAAGATTTAGTTCCGATTATCCACTGTGGCTATTTTGTACAGCATTGTCAATTTTCTCTTAGTTCCTGGAATGATGTGGATTTTATAATACCCATAGCCACCGGCTGCTGGCTTCAGGAATGATAGTCTTTTCCTTTCATAATACTCCCATCCAGTTTCTATGGATTTCTCCTATTTTTGCTCCTCAAACCTTTCTTATTCTCTTTTCCTTGTTTGTCGATCTTCACAAGTCTGACAGTTTCGTTCATCTGACATGAAGGAAGAAGACGCTCTCCCAAAGGAACCTCAAGGGGATGACTTGGAAGTTAGGGGAAGGAAGCGAGAGGGGTTACGCACTGAGGGGAAGAATAAAATGGGCGTGGCAATGCAAGGGAGACGATAGGAGATGAAGTAACATACAAACTTCTCTTTTCGTATAATCCTGAAAAGTTCCTACACACAAATAGAGCAAAGAAGGAAAGTAAAATGAGAGCAGGAACTCTCACAAAGCGACGGGCCCTAAAACACGGTGGAGGAAGAATCCATTTTCTCAAAGCACATTTTTCCTTCTAACTTTTTATTTCAGATAAGATGAAATAGCTGTCTCTTGTTTGAAAGTCCACGTATTAATAAAAGGGACAGGAATACAGTCTTAAGATGGAAAGATATAAGTGAATAAGCAACACAAGTTTCAGGATGCACACAGTAGTGAAGGAAGAAAGAATGATTCTTCGATATATTTGACTATGAAACGATTCGAAATTAATTCATTTGAATTTCCTGAGCACAAGTTTTCTCTCACCAACTATATCCTTTATTTCTAATTCAAACTAGATCTCTCCGGAGATGGTATTTCGTCGCATGTGCAGAGGAGCAACGTCTTACGTTGTAAAACACGTCTTAGATTTGTCATTTCCGCTGTAAGATGGAAATCTTGGTCGTAAGTTCCACCCTTCTTGTCTAAGAAGTGTGGAGGCGGTGCGTTTCAACCTATCAGAGAGTGGATTCATTTCCTCGGTCTGATTACGTGGCGTGAAAAGCGCGAAGGCAGGTAGCAATGTTGCGAGTCTAGAGAGATCAAGCCAACTTGAAATAATTCATTTAAATACACACTTAAAAGTAAATCCTAGCATTCACATTAAACAATAGCACAGAATAAGAAGAGAGAGAAAAAAGGGTTTCCAAAATTTTTTAGGGCAAGAAGACATGTGCCATAGGTATGTAACAATACAAGATTAAGAGGTACACATTTGTAAGAACACATAAATTTGCAATTATATGATTTCAATTTGCTTAACATAGAATTCGAATACTTTGCGTTATTCCGGCAAATATGGAATTTGTCAGTTATATTGTTCAGTATTTGGTGTTACTTTAGAGATTTTTGTGAAAAATTAATGCAGAAATGTTTCATTAAACATAATGTGGAAAGGTACTTAGACATCATTGATTAAGCATGGCTGTGTCTTTCTTTGCGGAATTCTGCGTATCTTCTATAATAAGAATGAAGTGTTCTTTTCATAAAAGTTACGATATTTACAGTGGTATATATGTTTTGTATACTTACTGACAATCATATATATGTCATAAATAATTAAAAGTCGTCATATTTTATTTATGCAGTTATACGAAAGGTGGTCAAAATAAAATGATTTATAGATGTTAACAAAGTTTTCGAACCATACTTGTAAATAAACTTATTATAATAATTTATAAATATTTTAATAAATTCATACACATCGCTGTACTTGTTAAAGGATCAGATGTTATATTCGTGACATTGTAATGATGTTGTACGCGTATCAAATATGTTATAATAGTAGTTTCCGCCTGTATTGATGTATCCTTCTCTAGATGGTCTCTCAGACCGAAACATGTCAAGGATGAAAGACTAAAAGAACAACATTTATCAGTCACACTGGACGGAGTTGATAACTTTTATAATGCAATAAGAATTAGAACAAGTTAAATACATACATGTAAGTGATTTAATTCAGCTGACCTTACCTTAATCACCAACAAGAGAAGCGTTTTTTTCCAGGTTACAAATTTTGTCAAACATATAACTTACCCATAGCATCTTGTCTCAGCCCCGACACTGGCGCCATGTTGGTAGCACTGTGGGGCATAGAGAAAGGCTGATGCACGCTCGAATACGAACTTGTAGTCATCTGGAAGAATAAGCCATGCTGATAAGCAAAATTAACTTTCGTTGTTGTAGTAACGTCATCAGAATCAGAAGACTTATGAAATGTTTAGAGAAATTTTCGGTCTTTATGAGATTGACTGATTCTTTGGTTATTTAGCAAAGCTGCCGAACTGTAGGCAGTACACAAAAGTCGAATAAGAGGAAGAGGGCTATGAATCGTGAATAGGCAAGGATTCGAAGGATGAGAATTGTAGACTTTCTAAAGGAGCTATCCGAAAATTAGATAGAATACTACGAGACAACGCAGTCAGACTAGGTGAAATCCGGCATATATTCGAACTAGGTGCTCTCTTACATTAGTCAGGGACGTCAGAACCGGCTCAGTTAATATTCGCGGGGAGGGTGACTCTTTCAGAGTCAAGAGAAGAGAGTAAACAAGTCGTGAGTGGCTGTGCTTTATATATTCAGTGTTTCTTGGACGATAACAGTAAAATATATCACGGAATTAATAATGAAGGGTACTGTCACCTGAGAAGAAAAACCGTGTAGCCCATCTCGTTACATCTAAGAAGATAGTACCATAGGTAGTCACCGCAAAAAACACCCTCAAATTCAACGGAATTAATAAGGATCAAAATAGATAAGCTCTCCTATTTTTTTCTTTCCTTGGCACTATAGCCCCAGTGGCCTTCTCTGTTCACTTCGGTTTTTCTAGATCTTACACATTCGGTAGGACTCCTTGGGCGGGTGATCAGCTCGTCGCAAGGCCTCTAACTGTACACAAACACAGAAAAACGCACACACACATACTAAACATCCATGCCCTGAGTGGGATTCAAACCCACGATCCCGGTTTCCAAGCGAGCGAAGACAGTACATGCCTTAGACCGCTCGGCTACCGTGACCGGCAGTGTATAAGAATAATATATAAGAATTCAGTTCGTACCTCACAGGAAACATATCCGAACCCACGATCCCGGTTTCCAAGCAAGTGAAGACAGTACATGCCTTAGACCGCTCGGCTACAGTGACCGGCAAGCTCTCCTATACTACCATGAAATACAGAACTTTTTCCTTTTGTTAAGTGTATACATCCACTCCACCATACGCCTTCATGGGGTAGTTTTTAAGCACAGGCACAACTTTACCTTTACACTTGGCATAACAATTTCCTATTAACAAAATCAATTAGACAATATCATAAAATTTTTCTATTGTTTATTGCAATTTAATGTGAGCATCACTGACAGCCCTATAGACTTGGAAACGAAATTCCACTTCGTCCCACACCCGGGATAGCACATCCACTGAGACCGCAGCGATGGCAGCTGTAATTCTTCGCCGCAGTTCGAAACAGACTCTACATCTTCGCTGGGTGCGATCTATTTGATGTACCCCAGAAGAATAAGTCCATGTATGTTAGCTAGATCTCCGTGGGGGGCTAATTAATCGGCCTACCTCTGTCGATCCACTGACCAAGAAATCGTTCGTCCAGGGAAGTGGGTGGCTGGGGCATCATCTGGTTAGAAAATAAGGCCGTCAACTTCAGCCCAACAAAGTACGCCTACGAGTACTTACAATAGTAGAAGTGAGAAACTTCGCAAATTTTGTATCCCCTTCTTCAAATAAGAGTAGAAATGAAATCAAGGAGGAGAAGGGTGGGGTGAATGGTAAACAAAATTTTAGTTGGAATAGTTGAAGGGAATAGAGCACTTGGGGATCTAAGCTCAACATGTATAGCAGAATAATAAGAAAATGGATCTTAAAGAAATATCACTTGCGTTCTTATGGGAAACACAGAGACTAAAAAAACTCTGTGGCTTTAGTCCTTAAGCGAACTATACAGACCGAGAGACCACCGCTTGTCATCGAAATTAGTACCAACTTTAGTGGATAGAGGATGTCGCGTGGTCAGCGCAACGAATCCCCACGGCTTTTAATTTCGACTTTCTAGACCGGAGCCGCTACTTTTCATTAAATTAGCTCTTCAATTATCCTCACGAGGCTGAGTCGACCCCGTTCCAGACAGACGCACTACTTCTCGGAAAATCTGGTAGCGCAGGGAATCGAACCCGGGACCTGTGGATCTGTAGCCAGGAACTCTGACCACTAGACCACTGAGGCGGTCACACAGAGACTACGTGCTTTAAAAAATCTTAAAGGCAATCGTTTGAATATCCCTAAAACACTAATCTGCAAACCATGATAATTTGCAACTGTTACGTTTGTATCGTTGTTAATTTAATCTTATCTACAGAACTTGGTCTAAACATCCATGTTTGTAGCAATGACTGATGTAGCAGGATTTAAACCGTCACGAATTAGTCCTGCTGACAGTCTGATTCGGTTACTGCTCTTGTAGCAGGCGGACAGACATGGAAAGCGAAGGATACGCTAAGAGCATCTGACGGCCGTTGTCGTAGGCTGGATCCTTGTAGAGAACATTCATCACTTCTCGTCTTCCTGCATCATTCGCACCTTCAGGGACTGATATGCTATGCATCAGTCTCCTGAGGCTTGGCGTTTGCGCGTGCGCCGCAGACCGATTTCGGTCTGTGCGTCTCTTTGAATTTTACTCAGTAATTTGTATAATATTGAGATATTATCCCAAAGTAACACACTGGTAGCTTAAATTTCTATATTTTTAAGAATTTATGTACGAAATAAAACTAATTTTTGTTTGGCCCTGTAATTTAATGAGTCATTATTTTGCTGTTAGGCTTACGAATATTAATGATACGTAATTTTAATGTTTTTTCTTAGAAGATACTCTGAATGTGGCTCTTTCGAAAGAATTACACAGATAATATTGATATATACAGATATACTTCATGATTTATCTCCGTATTCACTTCATTTCGATACGTCATTTTAAACAGGCGATCATAAAGTCACAAAAGAGGATGCAATGTTGAAAGTCAATGGAAGAAGAAAGTAGTCAGTTTGAATCTGGATAAATGAAATTATCTGAGAGGGGACAGGCTGCGCCATAGCTCAATCGGTTAGTCACTGGCTTCCCACCCCTGAGGCCCGGGTTCGATACCGGGGTCTGGTCAAGTGGGATTTGAGGTGGACAAAGTGGCGCTTGGGCGGGTTTCCTCCGAGTACTTCGGTTTCCCCTATCAAACTTCATTCCACCAAATTCTCCATCATCATAATCATCCGGGGCATGCTACAATAGACCAATCAGTGGCCGCCGTGCCGAGTGGACCCAGTTGGACTCCATCCCCCTAACTAAGCGAATTAAAAAAAAAAACCTGAGAGCGGACGTTAGCGGCAAAGAGGCTTGAGTTAAACAGTAAAGTCAAGAAAAGTTATGTTATGACCGACGGTCAGTCGACCAGTCTGTCTTGGTGTCAAGCACCCGTCTGGGGCACCAGAACAGATTTTTATTACTGTCAGACAGTTGTGGGTTTGACGAAAGGACGGTTCTACCGTTTACAATTGTTGCTGATCCTCGCCAGCGCAGTCATTCTCGGGTCGGGATCTAGCGAGACTACATATTACTGTTCCAGATTCGAAACTCCCAATATTTTGGGGGCTAGGCCCCCGTATTTATATCCTCCCAAAACACGGTGGTCCAGTTATACTCCCAGGCACTGGATTCCCTTTCTGTCGCCTCAGACGACTCACAGGGCTATTGAATCTAAGTCTGAGTCTTATGTTATGACCGACAGTCAGTCTGCCAGTCTGTCTTGAAACAAAGCACCCATCTGGGGCACAAGACCAGATTTTTATTGCTGTCAGACAGTTGCGGTTTGTTGAAGTGGGGCGCTCTCTCCGACGAGAGAACGGGTCTTTCGACAATTGCTGCTGGCCCTCTCCAGTGGAGTTATTCTCGGGTCCGTGTCCCGTGGTACTCGCGACCACATTTTACTGTCTCAGATTCGAGATTTTCCTTTTCATCGCCTCCTACGACTCTCAGGGCTACGGTATTCGATCCCGCCTCCTCACGGACCGCAGTGCATGCCAGATACTCTTATTTGTCGCGACTCAGACCGCTTAGAAAATGCTTCTGTTGTAGCATGTATATTCGTTCCATGGGAAAGTATTTACAGAGCCGTTGGGTAGAAATGGCCATTTCTTCAGGCTCCACTGTTCGGGCTTTCAGGCGTCGTGTCACATTATATTACCTTGAAGTAGGTCGTACCACTATTCTCCATATTGTTTCCAATTCATATAATCTGAACACACAGTTGTTAAGCTATGTACAGAACGTCACTGAGTGTGTGTCGTCATGACAGTGGCGTCATCAATATGAAGTTACCAGGATCCATTTTCAACGTAAGATGATAGATTAAATAATAAGTCATGAGTCCATAAATACACATAAAATAAATTAACGAGTTAATGAATGTTAAATTACACGCATCCAACAGCGGTCACTCCGAAGACAGAATGAACAGTGTAGAGAGGATGGTTCTATGTGGGAAGGAAAGCGCCGTGGCCGACATCGAAATGCTATTCAGATGTTTTATTGGATTCATTAAGTTTGTTAAATGGGATAAAGAGAATGTTTACTCAGCTAAAAGACATGCGTTCGTCACATTCGTTTTTAAAAAGAGTTTAACAGGAGAATTACGGAATTAGTCCGTATTTCCGTGAGGTCAGTGTGGGAGAAGGTTAAACTTTGTGTTATGCTAACGCTACTAATGCAATGGAAACCTTTCTCTAGAGTGTTTTATAGATCTGTGTGGGATTTAACAGCGCTCTAATGTCATTTCGTATTGCGTTCTTCTGACAAGGAATATTAAATGTTTCTAACACGGTGAAAATAGCTTATTATGTAGTATCACATCATTCATTAAACACATTTATCTCCCTATCTCATTGATTCACTACTAATTCCATGAGAAAAAACCCTCCTTAAAATCTGACAATTTCTTAATGAATTTCCTAACGCTTGTGGAGCCTAATTTCAATCACCGAGGTCCTCTAATTAATAATAATCTCAGTCACTTCAACACAGTTTACATTGTAACAACCTACTTTCCTAAATTTACTTTAATATTATCCTCCCATCTATGTCCTACAAAAACCATAACTAACACTGTGTCTGTAAAGCAAACCAAGAAAATCATATACTCGTATGTGATTTCAGGTTTTCACGGTTGTGAAAATTTATGTTGTGACCTTCTGAGTTATGACACTGTTCAGCTTGATTGGTGATTACCATCGTTTCAGAAAAAAACATCCTTCTTCAGGGTAGACGACTACATTTAGTCAAAAGATCACAATATTGGCCTGAACAAGTTGGTATGGCGATACACTCTATACCTGTATTCGGGATGGGCAAGGTTCAAATCTCGAACGGGACACCGACTATCCTGAGGTTCTTCGTGGCCTTCCTCAGTCCCTTCTGACAAATGTTGTCACAGTACTTCAATTGAACCAAGACAGTTTCATTTAAAATCCTTTCCAATTCATTAATCATTTATCATCTTACCATTTACTTACTGAATCCGTTCCTCTCCTACCTTTACGGTGTCGAGGTTGTTTTCTTTTCTTAATTTTGATAAATTTACAGACGGTAGGACTCCTTGGACGAGTGATCAGCTCGTCGCAAGGCCTCTACCTAAACACAGGACAACAGAAACAGAATAAACACATATATACCAAACATTCGTGCCTTGTGTGGGATTCGAATCCACGATCCTGGCTTCCGTGAGAGCGAAGACAGTACATGCCTTAGACCGCTCGGCTAACGTGACCGGCTTATTGTCCGCATGCAGCCCACATATTGTCATTAGCTACAACTTCTTAAATTGTTAATTTTGTGTATTAATAAAGTATCTGTCAGCTACATGGCGATAAATCTACCAAGCTCTTTCTATTTCCTTTAGAGATATCCTCTGAATTCATGCAGACTGCTTCTTTTTTTAACTTAGGTTTCCTCTATTCACGAATCAAACACATCTTCCTTTACTATTCAGTTATATTTATTGATTCTGTAGACTCTTGCGTGAAGTAGTTTATAAAATGTGATCTCACAAAATCATTGTTCTTCTAGTGCATATATTAAATTTTAAATCGGACAGTCATTATTCTTTTCTTAATGAAATTACAGCAGCAAATTTTGTCTTTCAATAATTTTGTACTTTTAATCAAATATGACGAGGATGTTCAAATCAAATACGCTCAGATGTCCAGGGCATGTAGCAGGCAAAAAGAAATACCAAACAAAAGAAACAAATTCCGTGGCCTGTAGTCAGCAAGCGAACTATACCGACCGAGCAACCGCCGCTTGTCAGCGAAATTAGTGCGAACTTTTGCGGATAGACGGTGTCACGTGGTCAGCGCAACGGATCCCAACGGCCGTTAATCTCGGTTTTCTAGACAGGAGCCGATATTTTCTTGAAATAGCTCCTCAATTATCCTCACGAGGTTGAGTTGACCCCATTCCAGACCCACTACTTATCAGAAAACCTGGTAGCGCCGGGAATCGAACCCGGAACCTCTGGATCTGTAGCCAGGCACTCTAACCACCAGACCAGTGAAAACTTGAAAGGAAAAGACGATTTGGAAGCCTTGGGCATAGGTGGGAGGAGAAGATTAAAATGATTTAAAGAAACAGTTTTGAAGGATATGTAATAGACATTTTGCCTGAGGATAGGGACCAATGGTTAGCTGTCATGAACACGGAAATGAAAGTTGGGGTTCCATAAAGTCGGAAATTTCCTGTGTAGCTGAAAAGGCATTATTAATTTTTTTATTGCTAGTGGGGTGAGACTAAGTCCCTTGTACTGCGGCAACTTCTGGCCTATTGTACCAGCCACAGATGATAGGTGAGGGTGATTGTGGAGCAATTGGTGGAATGAAGATTGGCAGGGGAAACCGAAGCACTCGGAGAAAATCTGCCCCAGCGCCACTTTGTCCACCACAAATCCCACTTGACCAGACCCGGGATCGAATCCGGGCCGCCGCGTTGGGAAGCCAGCGACTAACCGCTTGAGCTATGGCGCGGCCTTGAAAAGGAATTAACTTCCCAAGAACAACGAGTTGGTTGAGAAAACAGTTTTTCTACAGAATGTTGGAATTGAGGTTTTCAAAGCGGTGACTATGAAGACTATGGAAATACCTATGTTTCGCGGAAAATACCACCTCCATTTTCAGAGTCGAAGTGTAAGCCTAGGTAAAGGCATACGATTGCAGCCTGCTTTATGTTGGTTTCCTGCATTGCTTACCCTTCGAACTGAATAAGGAGGCTGAAAATGCAATCGAAATTTCGAGCATTTTACTAACTACGGGTGCTATAACCCAGAAGAATATAGCCTATTCACTTGTCGCTGTTTAGTCTGTGAACCACATGAATTCTACCAATACAATATGATTCCAGTTACTGAAGACTAAAGCAGGACGTAGCTACAGTTACCTCTGTGCTTAGAGACTTGGCCAAGGGAAGTGAATACCTTACCTGAGGGTATCTGTTCATAGTGTTTATAGTGTTGGGATGGCCGTAAGGTTGGTACCCCCTGCTCGCAGTTGGGTACATGTTCCTCATAATGCCGTTGCAGGTTGGTATGACTGTCTGCGCCATCGCCTTCTGGACTTGCTTTTCTTGCTTCCTGTACTTTGCGCGTCTGTTCTGGAACCAGACCTGCAGCAGAAGCAAAACATATGCAAATCTAGACGGCCTGAACTTGGGCAATCTATGCTGTGTAGACAGGAACTTGTATGCATTTCTGTATCGGCCTGACCAGAATTTTGCTCCAACATGTCAACACCGTTTTTCTATAACTATTGTATAATTGTAAGTTTACAAAAATGTATCCTGAAAGTGAGAAGATTCATAAAAAGGAGTTTGTTCTCAACGTACCAAATTATGCGTTTTCAGAAATCAGATGTCCATGTTCTTAATACAAATTCAATCAGAAAACTATGAAGGAAAGAGAATATGTGGAAGACTTGGATGTAGATGGGAAGATAATATTAAAGATGATCACTTAAAGAAATGGGCTTTGAAGACGTAGTATTTTTCTGGCTTAGGATAAGGTACAGTGGCGATTATAATAATGGACTTTCGGTTTCCAGAAAAGTGGTGAAATTTCTTGGCTCGTTCTTCCATGAAGTGAGTGGAGAGACAGGTGAATCAGTTGATAGACAGGTAGACTCGTTTGTACAAGCTATGTATATTCGCAGACGTAGGGCTTATCTTCTAGTATATATATATATACGGTGTGTCCAGAATCCGTTAGGACTCATTTCTTTTTTTTTAATTTTGCCCTGCAATGCAATCTGTTGGCAAGTTGTGGCGTTAAGATTCTTGAAGTTTCAGCTGTGGCTGTCTATAATTTCAAAGCGCAAGCATTGCTGCATCATGTGTTCTGACCTTGAATGTAACAGTACTGTTCTGACGCTCGTCGGAAAATGGCGGTTGAACAGAGAGTCAACATGAAATTTTGTTTCAAGTTAGGCAAAACAGCGGGAGAATCGTACGAAATGATGAAAAGTGTGTACGGTAGTGATTGTTTGACTTGCTGGAACATTTTTCGATGGAATGCTGTATTTCTTGAGGCAGGGAGGACATTGAAGACGCTCAACGTGCATCAAAGCCGAGAAAAATTCGCACTGAAGAAAATGTGAAAAAAGTGACCGAAAACTTTGTATCAGACATATGTGTTTCTGCAAGACTCATCGAGGAGCTTTTGGGAATACCAAAAAGTACTGTATATCAAATTTTGACTGAGGATTTGGGCAAACGGAAGGTCTGTGCGCGGTTTGTACCGCGCGCGCTGTCGGGCGATGTAAAACATGCCAGAGTGGAACACTGCAAAGACATGTTACGGTCGGCCCAAAGTGATACATAATTTACAAAATCGATTGTTACTGGTGACGAGAAATGGGGTTTTCAATATGAGCATCTCACAAAGCAGCAGAGTGCAGCGTGGTTGAGCCCAAAGTAGCCGAAACCAAAGAAAGTGCGCATGCAAAAGAGTCGACTAAAGACACCGCTAATCGTTTTCTTCGATTCCAAAGGAATCATTCACAAGGAATTTCTGCCAGAAGGTCAAACAGTGAATTCTGATTATTATCTCGGAGTTCTCAATCGTTTGTGGGCGAGAATTCTTCGAATTCGACCTGAATATCGAGAGCAAGGTTCCTGGTCGCTCCTACACGACAATGCCCCACCCCACAAATGGAAGATCGTGCACGATTTTTTGGCCAGAAAAGGGATCACAGCCCTCGATTATCCTCCGTATTCGCCAGATTTGGCTCCAGCAGATTTCTGATTGTTCCCAGAAGTTAGTTGGCGATGAAAGGAGACGGTCACGACACTATCCAGGACATCCAAAGGGAATGTAGCGCAGTTTTAAATGCGATTCCACAAAAAGAGTACAGTGACTGTTTTCGAAACCTTTTCAATTGATTCAAGCTATGTATTGATTCAGAAGGAGACTATTTTGAATAAAAAGAGTGAAATTTTGAAAATACGTAGTTCATGTTTTGTACTTTTAACGAACACAGTCCTAAGAGAACATGGACACACTGTGTATATAAAACCAAAACAAACTCCGTGGTCTGTAGTCCGCAAGCGAACTATACCGATCGAGCGACCGCCGCTTGTCGGCGAAGCAAGTGCCAACTTTTGAGGATAGAGTGTCACGTGGTCAAGGTAACGGATCCCCATGGACGTTAATCACAGTTTTATAGACCGGAGCCGTTATTTCCTCAATTATCCTCACGAGGCTGAGTAGATCCCGTTCCAGACCCACTACATCTCAGATAATTTGGAAGCGCTGGGAATCGAACCAGGGACCTCTGGATCTGTAGCCAGGAACTCTTACCACTAGACCACAGAGTCGGTCGGTGTTTGTGTGTGTGTGTGTGTGTGTGTGTGTATATATATATTATTACTTCGACTATGAGACGCTCTCGAATTTAAGACACATTCGAGTTTTGAAGGTGGGCTTTTGGAAAAAAAAATACAATTACGGACATTCCTCGAATATAAGACGGGCCTCAACATTTCAAATGGAAGAATTCTGTAAACTGTGCATCTTATATTCCAAATAACTGTGAACGTGCTGGCAGTCCCATGTTACTTTTATGTTCTTCACATAAGCCACACAACTTATGTATATTTAAGGAATATCAGTCATTTAGCTACAAGGAGGAATTCCCTAAGCTAAGCTTTTAAGAATTTTTCGCTCCCTGCCTAAAGCGCAAACCGTCTTGGAAAGCCATTAATGTCGTGCCGAGACTAGAAACCTTTTACACTTCTTCACACAGTTTGAAAGCAAGACTTTTAATGCACCAATTAAACAACCGATGTGATGATAAGAGTTTGGAAGGAAGAGTCATAGAGACTTCGTTTTTTACTAGAACTTAGAAACACTAGGAGTAAAATAATAAGAAGGAAAATCTTTGTATCACGAAACAGTGTTTAACATTGTTTGAAGCTTATACTTTGCATAGAAGTTTACAGAAATCCACTCTCAGCCACTTATTAAAACTATCTTTAAAATGTACTCGTGGAAGAGTCAGTTCTTCAGAGTAACAGCGCTAGGACTTTCAATGAAATAATTACTTTGCTTTCTCAACTGAAACGAACAAACTAGACTTCGAGATCACAGTGCAGTGTGTCCGTGTGTGTTCCAAATTTTAAGCTTTGAACATTTCGACCGACTTTCACGAAATTTGGTATGGACGTTATGCAAGTAGAATTCAACCCAATGCCTACTTTTTAATTTCCTACATCGGTTACAACAATATAACAAACTCACGAACTTGCAGATGATATTTATGTTGGTGACATTCAGATTAAGTTCTTGAAGGTGTGTACGATAACAAACAGTCCAGAAACCTGCAGCCCTTATNCAACAGTTGAGATTATTACAAGTGTTACGCCACACGTATTTTTTTTTTTACCGGCTCTACAGCCCCCTTTAACCCTGGCCTCTGGTTTTCAGTTTCATGGCCATTTTACAGACGGTAGGACGCACTGGACGAGTGATCAGCTCGTCGCAAGGCTTCTACCCAAACACAGGACAACACAGACACAGAATAAACACATTTTTTTTCCTTGGCACTACAGCCCCAGTGGGCCTAGGCCTACCTCCATGAACTTCTCCGTTCACTTCGGTTTTTCTAGATCTTACACATTCGGTAGGACCCCTTGGGCGGGTGATCAGCTCGTCGCAAGGCCTCTACCTGTACACAAAAACATAAAAACGCACACACACAAACTAAACATCCATGCCCTGAGTGGGATTCGAACACACGATCCCGGTTTCCAAACGAGCGAAGACAGTATATGCCAGAATAAACACATGTACATACCAAATATCTATGCCCTGTGTGGGATTCGAAACCATGATCCCGGCTTCCCAGTTCATACGTTAGACCGCTCGACTACCGTGACCGCCCGCCACATATATTACAGAGACAAATTCTCTACTAAATTTCCTTCAATAATTCTACTAATAATAAATATAATAATAATAAACAGTCTGTAACATATTTATAATATTTTACAAAAAAAATTTTACTTTAACAAAATTCAGTGTTACAGCAATATATGCACAAGTCCAGAATGTAAACCCATAGGGTAAACTGACTTTCATTGTTGAATTATAAATTTGTATTACGACATTTAGAAACGCAATATTAGTAAAATTAATTGTGAAATATGAAAGTATATTTGCAAACTCTTCTCACAACTCGTTGTCCATAATGTTACCGCATATAAGGGCGACACCAGAAATTTGAACTGCTATTGCGAAGTTGGAAAAGTATAAGACGCCAAGCAGTGATCAAATTCCGGCAGAACTGACTACACCAAGAGGTGAGACACTGGGGTCTGAGATCCATTAACTCATTAATTACATTTCGAATAAAAAATGAATTGGGACATACGGTAGCATAGTTGATTGAGGTATTAAGCTATAAGTCGAAATATCGCAGTTTCTATCAATTTCAGTTAATTTTTTTTTTATTATTATTTGAACTGAATCTTCCAGCCGGACTATGGTTCTGAGTTCACTCAGCCTCTAACAGAAATGAGTACCAGGAATCTTTGTTGGAGTAAAGGGTGGCCAGCGCTTAAGGCTGACAAATTCACCGCCATGGGGAAACTCGATGTCTCTGCAACCTGTGGGCCTCCACGGTCTGTTATAAGGATAGTTTTACATTTTACTATAGTTTATTTCTTTTCATATTGTAATTTCGCAATCGCATATTAACAGTTTTTTATGAATATCCAGTTTATTTAATTTTTTATTCTGCCGTCTGGGAAATCACATTTTAAATCTCTCATACCAAAGCAAGAAATATTTCCTTCGTCAAATTACAATTTTTTTTTGTTTGTTCAACTGATATGTTTGATCCACAGTGTTTTCAGCATGAATAAGTGTCATTTCACTACCACGTTTTGCAATCCGGGATTTTAATTAAAATCCGGTCCTATAATCTTCATCGTCTAACAAGTTGGAGGCAGTGTGCTCCTTCAAAATCAAATAGGCAATCGGCAACGCACTACACTGCGACACGTCATAGAAAAACGCGATCTTCACAGTCAGAGCTCAAACTTCTCACGTTCCTGTTACGTGCAGTTCTCACCGAGCGTGACGGTCAAAAGTTCAACACTCCTGCTTCGTC